TGGTTTGAATTCCCATCTGGGGGAGTGCGGAAGAGAGGTGATTATATGTGTGCTGGTGGAAAGTCAGGTTTAGGCTTTGGGCAGGGCTTGGGCCTCCTGTGCAGCACTTGGGATGTGCAAGCCCAGCAGGGTGGTCCCATCCTGACCCTTGTGTGTGCAGTGGCTGCCTTGGAAGGAGATGCAGGATGGCTCCTGGGCTGTGATGTTGCAGTGAGGTGTGGAAATGGGGATGAGGTGGTGTGTGCAGCTGCAACCTGAGCTGGGTTTGGGGACCATTAGTGTGGCGTAGGGGGTGAGCTGCGTTCCCTGGGGAGTTGTGCATGTCAGAAGGTGTGAGCAAGAGGATGATGCTGGTTCTGGGTTTTCCCTCTTGTTCTCTGTCCCTCACCTGTGCCCATGTTGGTTGCTCTGGCTCTGTTCCCACACACAGGTCAGGCCATGGGTGGCACTTTTTTTTCTGATAGACCTGGCAGCCGCGGCCGATGTTACTGACAGCGCCTTGGCCTACTTCCTCACCGCTGACATCTTCATCGTCATCTGCATCATGGTGTACCTGCTCCTGCCCCGCCTGGAGTACTCCAGGTGTGTGCACCAGCCTGCCGGGGCATCCTGCAGGCATGGCTCAGGAGGGTTTGCTGCTGTTGATGCTGAGCAGGGTTGCTGGGGGGTCCATGAGATGCTCTCTGTGCTGGTCCCTGCCCTGTCACCTCCAGCATCTCACTGTGCTTCCACCAGCCACACTTCCCCTTTCCACTGAAACCACGGACTGAAACTGGGCACCCACCCCAGCACATGCTGAGCTTCTGGCAAGCTTCCCTAGGGGCTCAGGGTGCTGACACCAGGGCTCCCAAAATGTGTGAAGTCAGTGGAAAGCTGTGAATAGGAGGCAGCCAGTCAGGTGGGTCCCCCATAGGACATTTGTATCTGCCACATCCTGCACTGATGTGCATGACCAGTTGGTCTTAGTAGTGTTTGTAACCCCCAAACCTCCTGACCCCTAAATGCCTGCATGCAGTGGGTCCAGTGGACAAACGTGTGTCACCAGCTTCTCTCCTGCTCTCTCTCCAAGTCTCAGTTTGTGTTACCCAGCAAACACTTGGCTAAGAGCCTCCCTCCTTCTCTTTCTTGAGGTATTACCTGAGCAGCCAGAACGAGAGTCCATCCCTGGCCACTGTGCCACCCAACAGCTCCGCAGAGGATGAGGCAGAGCCAGGAGGCACCACGAATCCCTCCTCCCTCACAAAGAGTGCTGCCATCCCCCCTCTCCGCCCCATCCTGCAGAAGACTGCCCTTCTCGGCTTCTGCCTCTTCTACATCTTCTTCATCTCCATCATTATCTTCCCTTCCCTCTCCTCCAACATCGAGTCAGTCAGCAGGTCCTCGGGAAGCCTTTGGAGCACTAAATACTTTGCACCACTCACCAGTTTCCTCCTGTACAACTTTGCTGACTGGTGTGGGAGGCAGATCACGGCCTGGATCCAGGTGCCTGGCCCCAAGAGCAAGCTGCTGCCTGCCCTCGTCCTCCTCAGAACCATCTTCCTCCCTCTCTTCATCCTCAGCAACTACCAGCCCCGCTCGCACATCCGGACGGTGGTCTTCAACCGAGACCTCTACCCAGTGATCTTCACGGCACTGCTGGGGCTAAGCAATGGCTACCTGGGGACACTAGTCATGGTCTACGGCCCCAAAATCGTGCCAAAGGAGCTGGCCGAGGCAGCAGGGGTGGTGATGACGTTTTACCTTGTGCTGGGGCTGGCTGTGGGGTCTGCCTGTGCTGTTTTTGTGGTCCACCTTGTGTAGAGAGGCAGCTGGGGGGAGGGATGCCCTCGGTTTATGGTGCTGCTGTCAGGTATTTAGGGGTTTTTTTCCCAAAAAAATGTCAGGCATACCATGGCTTAGAGGCTGCCTGCCTTGAGAGGGAGGTGGCTGCATCCAAGGGGATGCAAGGGGAAAGACCCCCTTCTGGGAAGGGATATCCCCTGTGCCTGGGAAGTCCTGTCAGACATTGTCACTCCCCAGCTCAGTGGACCAAACAAACCAAAAAAAGCCTCATCCCCCCCAGGGAGCTCAGGGAAGCACCAGGGTCACACACAGGGATTCTGTCCCTCACCCCAGTGCCAGGGAGTGGCTTTCTGGGGCCACCATGCAGGTTTTAAACTGAGCCCAGGGCTCTTGGGGAGCCTTGGGCTTTGCTGCCTCACTGTTAGGGGCTCAGCCCTGCAGGGATTGTGTGGTCCTGGGGGTATCCCCCTCATCGAGCTATGATGGTGGTGTTGAGCTAAAAGGGATTTCAGCCCTGGAGCACCTTCACACAGCTTGGAGATAGGAGCCTCTCCAGGGATCAGGGCACTGTTTTCCAGGGATTTCATACAAACATTCCACAAAAAAAAGCCACATTAAGGGAAACCTCTTCACTTGGACTCCTGCTTGCTTTAATTTTTCTAGGTAAAATTGAGTTGAAGGATCATCCACCTCCCAGCATGGTGCTGCTAGTGCCAGGGCTGTGTGTCGTGGCCAACCTGAGACTATTTTTCTTCCTGTGACTGTGGTGTGATGGTTGTGGACACCAAATTACCTGTCTGACCCCTAGTGCTGAGTGGTCCTAACATGAGGTTTTTAAGATGTCTTTAGCCTGTGTTGAGAGAGGTCTGTGAAAGCCAGGAAGAGGTATGAGAGAGGCTCTGGTGTGATGTTCACAGGAGCAGTCTGGTTAATTTATGTAGACAGGCAGCATATGGTCTCCAGATGTTTGCAGAGGGGTGTGCTACTGTGACACCCAAAAATACAGCCTACCCAAAGAGGACTGGCTTTTAAAGTCACTTAAATCCCATATGCCAATGCAGCCTGGGCTAAATCCAATTATTGTATTTATAGTCTCAAATTGTCTGGATTTATGGTCCAGGAGAGGTGAACTGATAAGGATGTAATGGCAGAGCCTGGCACTGCAGTGATGCCTCAGGGATGCTGTCTGTGGAAAATACTTACTTTGAGACTGGGTTATTAGCTCATGCTCTACTGTTGGGATGCTCTCAGCATCTTCTGCTTGTCCAAGTAGTGGCGGAGCTGCTGTTTGGGGTTGGCAGCCATCCCCATGCTGTGCTGGTGTGAGGCTTTACTGGGAGAACAGCAGGACCAATGGTGGTTATTGCCACGGGGTGACATGTGGCCTTGGTGGGTGTTGGCTTTTTTATAAAAATCCTTTCTAGTGTTCAGTTTGGGCCACTGGCATCACACACACAGTTTTCATTTACAGTTGATTTCTTTTCTAACATAAGATCCAGACACAAGTGGAGAATTCACTGGAGCAACTTTCCAGCACACAACTGGGCACATGTGGGCTCTTAATCCTGTCCTTCCGTGGACCTTCAGCCCCCAGCACTTGGCCAGGGACTTCCTGGACTCAGAGGAAAGTCCACCCAAGGGCTGAGGGTAGGGATACTGCTTATGGGGGTCAGTGCTCCCATCGCTTCCATGGGCAGTGGACTAATGCACTAGTTGGTCAAAAAGCCCAAACCAGCTGTGTGTTGTCAAACAAATTCACTTTGTGGCCTTTATGCTTCCCACTTGAGAGCCTACCTCGTGCTTTGCTCTCCCCAGCTCATACCTTTTCCTCTGATCCAAAGAATAATGAGATTCTGCTTGTTTTGTCACTGCTCTGTAGCTCTGCTCCTCCTCTCCTTTGTGTTACAGACCAAACACCGCTTGAGGCAGAACATAATTATCTGGTACCGTTGCTAATAAAGATAATTCTTGATCCTGTGCAACTGCTGGTGCCTCGAATGATTTCTCTTGCAGATGCACTGATGCATGCAGTTTTAACTTGCATTTTTCCTTCTGGTCATCCTCTCCCAGCTTAGATTTTAAACTCAGATTACTGACAAGGGCCTGGGGAAGGACCCCTGAAAGAACTGCTTTGAGAGCCTGGTGATTCCAATTGAACACTCCCAAATGGTATGCAGGTAGAGCGAGCTTATGGCATTGGCAGGGGGAAGGGGACAGAGGGACTTATCCTTTGGTTTTGGTCGTATTCAGCTAAGGAGTGATAGAGAAATTATAGGAAAAAGCAGTGCGGGTTCAAATTGGGCAAGAATCAGGTGTGGGTACAAAGCAGGGACGGCTGGTGGGAGCACCATGGTACAGGGATGGAAGCTGCCAGGCAGCCTGAGCCATGAGCCTGGGGGTGATCCCCTGCAAAAGGAGACAAGTGATTTATAGGAATTTGCATATAACGGCTGGGAAGTAATTACAGTGCCTGGGTGAAGTCACATCTGCTGCTCAGTGTGGGCCATAGCCAGGAGCTCAAGGTAAGGAACAGCAGGATGGTGGTGGCAAGGCAGAATGAAGGATGCTGTAACTTGGATGCACCAAAGTGCAGCCACAGCTTTTGTCTCAATGGGTTGAATTTGTGTCCCTGCCCATGGTAGGGGTTTGGAACTAGATTATTTTTAAGGTTCCGCCCAACCCAAACTTTTCCATGATTCTGTGAATAATGTGTCTGACAAGGAATGCAGCCATTGACCCATTTCCAGGCCAGGAAATCTGCTCTATGCCACCATCAATGTGGGACAGCCAGCAGAAATGCTGCAGGGGTCCAAACCTACCTCTGGGCACTTATCTGGGAGATCACACATTTTTCCTCTAAGTCTCAGAGAGCCTTACAAGAGGGAGTTGCTCCCTGAATATTGGACCTGGGACACCTGAGTTCCAGAGGAATACCATGGGTGTGAGCAGGGCTGGACCTGAGGTGGGTTCATGAGTCTTTCTCACCTGCCCAAAGTGGCATTGCCAGATTTTCTCTCTTTAGTTAGCACCATCCCCTCAGCTGCTTAAGAGAGCCTAGAAGGGTTGTAAATGTTTCCCCTCTCACAGCGAGGCAGGTGGGTGCTGATCCAGCAGGGGAATGACCACGAGCTCTCCTCAGGGCTTGGCCACATTTCATTTGTGGGTGTAAAATGAGCCATGCAGGCACTGCAGAACTCATGAGAGTAAGCCCACAATGTGAAACTGAACCAAAGACAGGCACAAATCCCCCTGCATGGTGTCCAGCACTTGGGGCCCAGCACCACTGGCACTATGACCTGGAGAAGGAAGAGCCCCTGTGTTCCCTAGCGCTACAGGGGCTGGCAGCCCGGCACGGGGGATGCTGTGCTGCCCCACACTGCCTCTTCCAGCTGCCTTTGGAGTTAAATCCAACCAGCTTAGGGGAGATGAAAGATGGGAACTGGCAGAGCAACAGCAGATCTGGAAGGAGGGCACAGGGAACTGGAGGGGAAGGGATGAAAGGGGAAAGGGGATGCATCTGCTGCAGCTTCTGCTCAAAGGAGACTAACTGAGGCCATGCCCAACCTGTTTTTGTCCTCTCTCCTGGCCCTGTGGTGCCAGCTACCCCTCCTGCTTCAGAGCTGAAGCATTTAAGCCATGGGATTTGGGACTTTAAAGCAAACAAATGTGCTGGAGGAGGAAAGGGAATTTTTATTATGGAGCAATACTGCAAGTGACTTTCTTTCTGATCCTCAAAACCTTGTCCAGCTGGTCCTCACTCTGGAGTGTCCCCCAGGGTAGAAATGCTACCACCTCTCTATCTGTGACACCAGCGTTTGCATTACTGAAGTCTTGGTGCAGTGCTATTACCTTCTGGGAGGTGGGAAGCACCTCTGAGACAACCTTGTTATCCCTCAGCTTCACCTTGGTGGTGGCAAAAGAGAAGCACTGCAGCCTCTTGGCTGCTCCATTGCATATGTTTTGGGGCAGGGCTCATCCCTTCAGTGTTTGGCCCTGTGGGATGCACTGCAGGCCAAAAGTGGGATTGCCTTTGGTGGAGTAATAGTGGGAATGAGGGCTGCTGGGGTGGTGGTACATGGGCAGCGTATGGAGAGCCATCACTCCACAAGAGACAAGGTGATGCTCTCCAACCTCTTCCATAGCCATGGAAAAGGTATTTCAAGGTATTTTAGCTCTTGGCCCCTTTTCTCCTTCATGGGGAAGCTTGAGCCAAGGGCTTGAAACCCTTGGGCAGTGAGGCACTGGCACAGGTTGCTCAGAGAAGCTGTGGCTGCCCCATCCCTGAAAGCATTGCCAAAGCTGGTTTGGATGGGGCTTGGAGCAACCTGGGCTAGTGGAAGCTGTGGCAGTGATTGGAATGAGATGTTCCCTTCCAACCCAAACCTTTCCATGATACCATGAAACACCACTTGGTCACCATCTTCAGCAGGGGCTCAGGGAGGACTGTTGTCCCTAGGAGAGGGGCCGAGCTGATCCTATCCCTCCATGGGTGCTCCAGAGGAATAAAAACCCTGGCTTTGAACCCTTGCCAGCCAGCTGCAGGCTTGCCCGGCTGCTGTTCTCCTTTCACATGTTTTATGGAGTAATTTGTACTATATTTACACAGCAGTGATAAACAGTTTTTAAAATGGAAGCAAAGAAAACGCTGCTGGATGAATTGTTACAAAAAAGCCCTGTTTGCCATTCCAGCAGGGGGAAAAAAAAGGGATAAAAATCACCATCCTAGGGACATGCTGTTCGTCAGATCGGGGTATTTTTTCCCTTGATTTGTGTGCCTAATGTGAGCAGAAGAAGTCGCAGATGCATGCTGAATTCTGCAGGGAACATATGCATGCATTTAAATCATTTACAGCATTTACTGGTGCAATTGTAAAGCACATTATTTTTCTGCATTTGTAATTAGGCTCCAAACAGATGGTGAAGGACTGTAGCTCCTGATTAGACAGCCTTGTGCTCTGTTGGACAGCACTGCGAGAACAAACCAAGATGAGAAACTTTTCCTCCTAATTTATGGCGCC